TCACAAATTCTTTGAAGAAAATTTTCCGGATGGGCCAGACCCGGCCCAAAAGGAAACTGGGCCGAAATCAGCCCAACATATAATGGGCCACTTTTTTATAGGGCTGGACTCAGCCCAGCCGTAGGGGTGGGCTGATGTTCCAGCCCGCAACAAACAGTAACCGGGTACTGTGCACAGTTAATTAATTATCACCGGGTACTGTGCATGTGCACAGTACCCGATTAATTAATTACCCGTTTAAAAATTCTCCCCTCTCGTTTAAAAAACTGTCTCGTTTAAGAAATGACGGCTTTTCTTCTCTTTCTTTTCGTTTCCCCTACCCTCTCGTTTAAATTAAAAGAAAGAGACAGTTTTTTAAACGAAAGGGGAGAATTTTTAAACAAAAGGAGAACTGAGGGAAGATGAAGAAACTATGAAATAGAGGGAGGGAAATACAAACACACCAACACTGCCAAGGATCGTCATTTCTTAGCCTACCATCTTCTCCCCTCGTTGCAGCACCACTAAAAAAAAAACAAGAGAAGAAAAGTCGTCCACCGCCCAAGTCACATCTCAGGCTGTCACCACCAGCACCTCCACAAAGCTGCTGCAGTAAAAGAAGAGTAATATTGTTGATAGAGGAAACAAAGAAACAAAGGAAAGAAGTCACGCGCAAGGGAGAGGAAGAGCCGCCACGACAACACCACCACCAAATCGGCCACCAGCACCACCGTCAGCTCATCATCACAGGTAACTCCCTCCCTTCATCACGGTTTAGGATCCTCATCATTGTTTAGGATCGTCTTCTTGCATGCAGAACGTGCACTGTGCACGTTCTGCAGGCAAGAAGATAATTAGCAGTTACTGTGCAAGTGCACAATAACTGCTAATTAATTCATTAGTTACTGTGCATGTGCACAGTACCGGACTAATTAATTAACCGGGTACTGTGCATATGCACAGTACCCGGTTACTATTTGTTGCGGGCTGGAACATCAGCCTAGCCCATACGGCTCGGCTGAGTCCAGCCTTGTAAAAAAAAGGCCCATTATATGTTGGGCCGATTTCGACCCAGTTTCCTTTTGGGTCGGGTCTGGCCCATCCGGAAAATTTTCTTCAAAGAATCTATGATTTTTGATAATTTTGTTACTGTATTTTGATCAATATCGAT